TTCCACTTGTTGAAACCATAAAATTAATTGCAAATATTATTGGTTGCATAAATTTTAAAAATTTATTGCATAAAATATTATTGCAAACATCAAACCGAAAGTCATTTTAAAAATTAAAGAAACTTCATGGTTGGAAATTTTATGATTATTATTATTATTAATAATAATGTGTTTCGCAGAAAAGTATTTTATATTTTTACATAAAATTATACCCTATTTTATTGTTATTAATTAATCTAAAACTCTAATGCTTTCTTTTATTATTATTATTATATAATACAAAATTATAATGTTTTGTTTTATTAATGCTATTAATCGCTGTAAAATGTAAATACTTTATTTTATAATTATTGTAATTAAATAAGGTATAGATTTAATATTTTGTTCTATTTATGTAAAATTACAATATTTTTGTGTAGTTATTTTTATTAATTATTTAAATTTTATTAATTTAAGAACTAGTTATAAACTGTGAAAAATTAGTTCATCATTATAAAGTATCATATTCAAACTCGCTTAAAACAATGTGAGATAGTTTTTAATTTGTGAATAAGAAGTACTATTGTTGCAAAAGTATAATAGTTGCATAGTTTGATTTACACGCGAGAATGAAACGGATTTAGCTTTTGACAGAATCGTGTATGGAATAAGTAGAAACCTTTGTCCTCTGCCTGGTATTTATTTTCTTTCGCTAAGTCAATAGAAAAAAGATAATAAACAAAAATATTTTAAGGTAAGTATCTGTTTTAAAGGTCTTGATAAGAATTTTTGGAGGAATTCAAAAAAATGGTGTGGGGCTTATAAAATCAAAATTAGAGCTATATCAATCATATAATGAACCTGACATTATTAACTTTATTAAACGACACAGAATAAAATTGACAGGCCACGTTATCAGAATGGACGAAGACCGTACCACAAAAAGAGATCTCAATGCCAGACCAGATGGCACGCGAAAAAGAGGCAGGCCGAATTTGAGATGGATAGATGACCTGGAGAAAGACCTTTTGGTCGAAAACAAAAAATTGGAGAACACTAGCAAAAAAGAAAGTTTAGCTTGGGAAAAACTTCTTGAGAAGGCCAAGGCCCAGTCTGGGCTATCGAGTCATTGATAATGATAATGATGATAGTTTTAAAGCGAATTTTAAGCATATGTTAATCTTAAGTTGAATAAAAATTTTATTTAAATTTACTCATAAGGATACAGGATATCATCTCACTCAAGAACTCATTTAGGGCAAATGCAAATTTCATATATAAAATAATTTAAAATTTAATTAATTAATGAGAATACTCAAATTTTAGTATAAAAATAATACATTAATTTGACGCGAATGTAAATTTAATATATATTTTTGTTACTTTGTTACTATCAAACTCCCACTGTAAAAAAAAAAAAAAAAAAAAAAAAACGTTTCTGAATATAAAAGGCAACTACGGTACATGTAATTTTGTGTCTTGTGGGGCTAGGCTACCATCAATGTCAACCATTATCCATCAACAGGTATCTCAAGATAAAAATCGAGTTAACGTGTCTTATATAATAGTCAATTGAAATTTAATACATAGTTGTAGTGGTAGCTACGCTACATTACTCCCCTACCAGAAGTTTTATCTGTGATAGCATTCGATGAATGTATAATGCTAGTTGATAACGAGCAAATGAATAACTAGTTGATAAAATTTTGTGAGAGGTCGGGAGAGCTGTATTAAGACCACTGGGGTGAGAATGCTGGTCGTGTGAGCTGTATTAAAGTAACGGTCGTGGTCATGGTCACTCCTCTGTTGCAATTAGCAGTCAAGTGTGTACATGCTCCTGTAGTGTGTGATCGAGACTGAGTAGTAATCGCGTGAAAAAGACAATGTTGCAGTTAGAATTAGCAAGTCAACTGTTCGTTGTGAACCATCCATCGAACAAAGCGTGTTGAACAAAGCGTGTTCAAATTGAAATGAACGTTTCAGTCCAGGTAGGCATGTTGGTCGAGGCAGGCGTGTACAGAACTCGTCAGCGAGTTACCCATGTGTTACTAGGCTACCGACAATGTTAACCGTGAGGTTTTCGTGGTTTTGCTCTCCATGTAACGCATATGAGGGTTAGTTCCATCAAAAAGTCATCAACGAAGGCAAATTTCTTCCTGTAATTGATTCAGAAGTTCTTTGTCTTCTGGGTTGGGATGAAAATTGCAAGGCTACGGAGTTGAACATTAGCAGTCAAAAACCTGAAAATTGGATTGGCTGTTCAACGACTGAAATAAAATAAAATAAAAGGAAGATCTTAATGCTACAGAATGCTAAGACATAATTAAAAAACAAAACTCCAATCTACAGGTTCGGAAACACACGAGACATTGAAAACTAGTTAATTCTGTTAAGTTTTTGAGTAAAATAAATTTCAATAAATATTATCTTTATGAACATTTTCTTGTTATTTATATGCATTTTGAATCTAATTGTCATTACAAATTAAGAAAATTAATTTTACAGCACTTTCATAGTATTAAAAAAAGAACAAACTCAAATTTCCAGATTATAAGAGCATGTTAATTTACCCTTAAGTTTAGAAAATTAATTAATTAATAAGTTTTCATATGAAGTGATTATTTTAAATGGAAAAATGCTTGTGAACATTCTTTTGATGCTTTTATATATTATAAAAATTACGAAGTGCTTAGAAAAAAAGCATATTGAGGGACATTTTGAAACAAAAATCATCTGGATTAAAAACATGATTGGGCTATATGTAAGGATAAAATAAAATTATTTCAATAAACCTTTAAGTAGAATTAATTCTAATAAATAAAAATGTTTGTAAACTCTTTTCATTGTTCTACGCATCTTAAAGCTTGCTTGCTATTAAATAAGATCTGGTTAAGATACTTATTATCGTGTCAAGTTTTTAAATAAAATTAATTTTAATAAAAATTGTTGTTTGTAAACATCTTTCTGTTGCTTCATTACATTATTAAAATAATCTGTTAAATTTAAAGAAAAAGAAATGTCAGGGGGTGAGTTAATAAAAAACCGTTCTTTGCACAGAAATATTCTGTTATTGAAAACAGATACTTGTTTTTTTGAGTAGATAAGTACTGTTAGTTAAACAACAAAAAACTTTTATTTGAAATAAAAGAAACTCAGTTATTTTAACAAAAAAACTGTTATTTTAACAAAAAAATTGTTGTGAAACAATGAAACAATGAAAAATTTTAATAAAAATTGTTTGTAAACATCATTTTATTGATTCATTAAAAATCTGTTTAACTTACAGGGAAAAAAACTTTTAGATAATTTGTCAATAAAAAACCGTTTATTTCACAGAAAGATGCAATTTTTAAAAAACGGATATCTGTTACTTACGCGGATAAGTATTATAAACTTTGTAACTTAGTAAAAATAAACTTTGTTATTTTAACAAAAACAAAAACACTGTTACTTTAACAAAAAACTGTATTAAAACAACTACGTTAGCATTGTGGTTAATGGGGATCCCCTTAATATTAGGCGAGCGCTCTGCCTCCTCAACCATGGCAGCTCTAGTGTTTGATTATGAAGAAAAATTTTAAACTCTGTTAAAAAACGTTTAAAACTATAAGAGCCTATATGGGTAGATCTCTAAAACCTTTAACTTTTAATAACAAAGAAAAATAATAAAAAATAATAGGCACACTATTTTTACACCCCCAGAATTGTTTGAAAATTTATAAACTATCAGAAAATAATCGTGAACATCGAAACTTTTGATGCCCTTATAGGTATAAACAAAAAATTAAAATTTTTGAACTAATTTTTCTAGGTTCATATACATTTCATTAAAAATCATAAAAACGACAAAAGTATCATTTATTTAATAAACATATAAACTTATTGAACCCAGTTTTCATTTATTGATCAATTTTTTCTTTTGAATAATTTCATCCATATTTACCCTTTATTTTTCATCAAAAATTATTAGTATCATAAATGAATTTAAAAATTTTAATATTAAGTTAAATTTTTATAAAATGTATAAAAAGGCTTACTTTAATTATTTTCAGTCAAAAAATATCTTCAATTAGTAAAACAATTAAAATACTAAGTTTTGATTTGTTAAATTCAATTAATTAAATCCTGAGGTTACAATTTGACAGGGTTACGGTCTGGACAACCTAGAGAATAGATCGAAAACTTTACTCAGATGCAACGCAATGCGATGCACACAACGCAGGAAATAAATTAGGCNAAAAAAATCTCTCTTATTCTAACTAAAAAAGCTGTTATTTTAACAAAAAACTCCATTAAACAACTATGTCAGCATTGTGGTTAATGCGAACTGAGACTAGAATTTGCATGACAAGCCAAGGGTAGGATTCGAAATCGGATCCCCTTAAAGTTAGGCGAGCGCTCGGCCCCCTCAGCCATGGCAGCTCTAGTGTTTGATTATGAAGAAAGATTTTTACTGTGGAAAAACGTTTAAAACTATTATGGCCTATATACTTATGAAAATGTCTGGCAATTATACTACCAAAACTATACATTTTAAGGATGATAATAATTATGTAAAGTATTTATTTGATATTTAAGTCGAATTTCAATTTTATTCATGCAATGTTCAAAACCATAAAATAATTGCTAAAATGCTAGAAGACGTATAGAAAATTCTAGTAAAAGGATTCGAAGAAAAGTAAAATTATCTTACAGTAAAACTGCATGTAAAATTGGAACTTCAATTCACAGTTTTATTCCGTTTATAATTAAGGTGAAAAATAGAGGAAAACTGTTTTGTGAAAAACGACTTTAAACTGTTAAATATACGGAGAAAGTCTGGGAAACGGGAATTTCGCTGCGTACATTATGAAATGAATTTTTTTCAAATTCACAAGAACGTTTCTAAACATATTTCTCGGCGAAATTCTATAATTCTCAGTAAACATTTGATTTCCCAAAACTTAAAACATCGTTATAAGGGAAGGAACTTTCTCTAATTTCATATTCAACGGTAGATGTCGCTGCATCTAATCTACCTCTTAGGAAGATGTTGTAAAAGATGAGGAGAGAGTTTTCGTTTCTCCAGTCACAAGCGGATGCGGAAGTAATATCCAACAACTTCCTTATCCTTCGTGAATTTTTCTCTTACGTCAATGGAGAGTGATAGCACGTGATTAGCTTATCATCATGTTATATTCCCACAACCACCGGAGAAGAATATGTAGCGAGAGGTAAAAGAACTTTTTTTTGCTGCTTTATTTATTTGTAAACTCGGAATAAAAACTCAAAACAGTTGATTTGTGGGATATAAAACTTATGATGATGTCAAAAAAAAATTTTTTTTACATAATATACAAGGATTTTCCTAAAATAATATTGTTTTTAAACGTTTTAATAAGATTTGAATGAAGCAGAATTCGTAAGTAAAAGCTACACGAGTTAAACTTCACGAGTTACTAGAACTACATGAAAACTACTACAAACAATGGGGAGCAATAACTATAAAAATATAGTTTTAAAAGAAAATGATAGAGCAGCTCATCTAAATAGCATTTTAAAACATTTTATGTTTGAATAATTTTGGGTATTTTAAATGCAAAGTTAGCGAAACTGAATTAATGTTTTAAACTTCATTACTTCATTGTTTATTCTGTTAAGCAGTCCTTTTCCATTTTTTTTAATTTCCTTTTTTCCAAAGCATAAAATGTTAGTAAACACAAATTAAAAAGTTTTGCATTTCATTGATCAGATATAAGAGCATAACATCACTGGTAATGCAACCAAACTCTATCACTAGAATTAAATACAATTTTTCTAATTTTAAATGTTCGTATAAATATACATATCTGATAAAATTAAAAACTATTATAGATCTTCTTAAAATGCTTTTGATTCCTTTTCTTTGATTAAGAAAAAATAAATTAAGATTGAAAAATACTATTGAAACTAGAAAGCAACCAAATTCTTACAATTTATGAAATATCAAGCTAGACTGTTTTTTTACCACAAATTTTTTTACTTCAGGAATGCATAATTCGACAAAAATTTCAATTTAGATAAATACATCTAAAAGATAAAAGCCATTTTGAAAAGATAAAAAACTGTATCATTTCTAGAAATATAAACAAATAAAACAGATAATAACGCAATGATTAATAAAACATCAAAATTCAATTTACTAAAAATTTTTAACTTTAGTTCATTTTTGATTAAAAACTCAAATAATTTACACTTTTGCTTTCTTTTTTGTATGAAGAATTTTAATAAAATTGCTTATTGAAGATTTTTAATGAACCTGATTCAAAAATCCTTAACGCACAAGATTCGTGATTTTCTTCCTAAAGCGTCAATTTTTAAAAATTCAGACCTTTTATGTTTCCGAAAATATAAATAAAAAACAAACTTTTATTAAAACTATGTACAGGAAATTGAAAATTGAAAGATATGAAGTAAAAGGATTTTCAGAACTTAAAATAATTTTTAATGTTTCGAGACGTAAGAAAGCAAGAACGAATATATTATTAAAATAAACCTGATTCCTCAAGAGAAAAAAAACCTTATGCTTTTCAAGCTAGAGCGTCAATTTTTAAAAATTTCAGAACTTTTATGTTTTCCAAAATATAAATAGAAAATAAACTCATAGTTAAAATATTTACAGAAAGTAAAAAGTTCAGAGATATGAAGTATAAGGATTTCCAAAACTTTAAGGAATTTTTAATACTTCATGGCGTAACAACGGAACAGTTCTGTTACGTTTTTACAATTATTCGCTTAGTTGAACTATTTTGTTTAGTATAAACTATTTTTATTTGTGATGTGATTTTCTGATTAGTTATTAGTTATTAGACGTTTGAGATACTACATATTTTCATGTTGTTATTCATAAACTTTTTTCCATTTTTTATTTACGAATATATGAAAAATTACATAAAATATTATTTAAGGCTGACTCAGAAACTTATTTGTCTTCTAAAAAACATAATAAAATAAAATGTTTGCAAAAATTATAAAATTTCACATAGTCACTTTTATTACTAAAAGTTTATCTCTTTCTTCCAATTTTATTCTAAATTTAGAATAAATTCAATTAAATAGTTTAGAATTCATAACTAAGTCGCAGTTCTTAGTTGTAATTCAAGAAGTTCATATTTATGATAATACATAGTTAAAGAAGTTCGATATCTTACAAAAACTTTGCATACAGTTTGTTACATGTTAATGATCGAGTAATGGATCAAATGGTCCTGACAGCTCAAAGAACTATTTTCATGTTATTTACTGTGGTGTATTTCTCTCGGGTTCGTACGATGTTCCATGGACGAGAGATTTATCGGAAGCTGAGTGACGTCACCCAAAGCAGCACCAATACGGCTCGTGAAACTGTATTTTGTTTTGAAGGCATGTTTAAAGTAAAATTAAAGCAAAATTATTAAGTCAAAGCTTCTTAAAATATAAGCTATCAACGTCCATCCCCCTAAGCTAGTCGTAATAAGATCACCAAACATTGACCTGTCCGTGGCATGATAAAAAGTTTAGGGAACACTTCTCTAAGGTATCGTGTTAAAATAACCAAATTTTACCACGTTTACTAAATTTTATCACGCTTCATAAAACTATATTTTATTGTTAATTTTACTAAAACAAATACCCAAACGCTTCGGGATAAGTTATAAAGATTCTTGGTTAGAAGTTAGAATATAGTTATAAAGATTAAAGAATATAGCTATAAAGATTCTTGGCGTTCACATATAGTAAGACACAGTAAATTTTACCGTATTCTAGTAATTTTTTCATCTATTTTATGATAGAAATTTCCTAGGTTTTAAGATAATGTATGCACTAGTGTTTAATATAAATAATTCTGGCTGTACAAATGATTTCGGGCATTGTGTTCTAAGCTTTCTAACTTATTCGATATCATATAAGAAAACATATATCTCTAACTACTAGAGATGAAAAGAACAACAAAAAAGACTTGAATTTTGTAGAAGTTAATAAATGTCAAGTATTTATTTTAAAAACGTCGTCCTTCTATAATTATTATGCCGGAGGATTAGAAAAGCCGTGGGGAACTATATTCGAGAAGGAATTTCAAACTCATTCGGCTTACCGTTGAAAATAGTTACTGACTAGTTTAAAATCCGCAAGCTACCGAAAAACCACAATACTTTTAAAGAAACAGAAACTCAGATTTCCAAATTTGATTTTACCATTTTTGTCTTCAGGTGATGAGCGTAGAGGGGAGAAGATTTTAAATGACAGTTTAAAGAATTTAGAATCAACAGCTTTAGAATAAGAAAAAAAGGAAGATGTTCACTGTGATGCCACAATGGGCATTACATATTTCCAACCTTTTAAAATATCTTTAAATACTTAAACTTATATTTCTAATCATATTAATGGAATTATATATAAATTAAATCGATTAGTTAATTTTTATTTTAAGCGAGCATAAAATATTTTATTCTTTTCTTATCGATCAATGTAACGGCTAACTTTTTATTTCAATACTAATGTCGACTCATTAATTCACTGCCGCACTTAATCGAAAACAAAATTCTATTTTTAATTCTTTATTCTTAAATTTCTTCCACAAATATGTTTCAGTTACATGGTTATAATAATTCTCGCAGTTTTGTTGGCGACTCGTGATCGCCAAAGTATTTTCAAACCCGATATTGTTTATGTTTTTGGCTATGTTATATTTTGATAATTCGCCAATTTTGGATCTCTTATCCATGCTTCTCCTGTGTCCGTTGGGAACAAATACATTTACTTTCAATTTCAAATTTGTGGCAATTGGGGGATCCTCCCAGTCCTAACCGTTGAATATCATTATGATTCTTGCCAACTAACTTTCGATGTTGAGAATGTAATCTTGATCCTCTTAAGTGATTTCTCTTCTTGAATTGGGACCATTTTTCAACAATCAATAAATTAATTTTGTTCAAGCAATTTTTATTATTTCCTTAAGACAATTGTCATTTTTACATCCATAATTAAAATGTGTTGGTAACGGCAAAAAGAGAAAAAAAATCTCTGATGAATCTACTACCACTAACTATATGCTGATAATGGCGATCACCGACACCATGTTCGTAAAACAAGTTAATCTGCTTTAAAAAAACGTCATTTTCAAAGTCACTTTCGTCACTTTCTCTAAGCTCTGCACGTATAAAAAAATTAAATAGGACATACACATTAAATAGGTTATTGGTAAAACACATCACCCAAGCTATTACCTAAGCATATAAAAGTTACAAATAGCATACATCGGATAACATTTAAAAACTTTGAATAACATAAATCCTGTATCATATGAAAGCTTTCAACAGCGTATATCCTCAGGAGATACAGACTTACAGCACTATACAACTTATAGCATATGAAAGAGTTAAGCAGCATATATCCGACAGCGCATAATTGCTTTAAACAGCATGTATCCGATAATGTATAAAAGCTCAATGCAATGTATACCCAATAGCATATGAAAATCTTTAACTGCACTCGTTCGATAGCTTCAAACCTCCTACATTCTAAAGCAAATAAAAGCTTTAAATAGCATACACCAGGTGACATATAAAAATCAAAAGAAACATGTGTCTGGTGGCAATATAAAAGATTATAGCAGCATAGGTTCGATAGCATATAAAAACTTAAAATAGCATACATCCTATGGCACATAAAAGCTTACGGCCACGTGTATCCGATAGCAATATAAGTGCTGTAAACAGTTTATGTCCGATAGCATATAAAAACTTCAAACAGGTTACATCTTATGGTATATAAAAGCTTGAAGAAACGTTTATCTGATAGCAATATAAGTGCTGTAGGCAGCATATATCCGATAGCATATGAAAACTTAAAATAGCATACATCCAATGGCATATGAAAGTTTAAGGCAACGTGTATCTGATAGCAATATAAATGCTATGAACAGCATATATCTGATTGAATGTAAAAAACTTTAAACAGGTTACATCCGATGGCGTTGAAAAGCTTCAAACAACACATACTTAAAGGCATACAAAATTTTAAAATTGAAATCATTTAAATTTATTCAAGCGTAATATTTGAGTCAAGATGAAATTGTGACAGTAAGAGAAAGAAAAAGAATTGCTGTTTTAAACTTATAGCTCTCTAATGGAGTGCTTTCCCTTTGCAAAGACAGCTTTTATATTAATACGTCTCCCAGAAAGCTGTTCACATATTTTATGACCGCAATATTTGT